GGGGCTATAGCTCAGTGGTAGAGCGCTTGCCTCGAATGCATGAGGTACTGGGTTCAATTCTCACCACTACATATAAATAAATAAAAATAAAGGACCATTAACAACTGAAAAAAATTTTAAATAAAAGAAATTAAAAACAACATAAATACATAGAAATACTACCCATGGCTATGAGTTAGGGAACAATATTGTTAGGACATCAATATGACTCAACACAGCTATAGATTAAATACAATTCCCGTCAAAATCCCAATGATTTTTTTTTTATTTTTTTTTTTGGTGGAGCTGGGGATTGAACCCAGGGCTTTGTGTATGCGAGGCAAGCACTCTACCAACTGAGCTCTCAACCCTGCCCCATGATGTTTTTTGCAGAAATAAAAAAAACAAATTCTAAAATTCAAAAGAAATCTCAACGGATTCCAAAAGAGCCAAAACAATGTTGGGAAAATAAAAAAGAATAAAGCTGGAGAACTTCCTGACTTCAAAACTTACTACAAAACTAAAATAATCAAAACAGAGTGGTGCTGGCATAAAGACAGACACATAGACCAGCAGACTAGAATGGAGAGCCTCAACGCAGTCCAGTGAATCTTCACAAGGGTGCCAAGACCTTTCAAGGGGGGAAGGACAATATTTAACAAACACCGCTAGGACAACTGGATAGCCACATGCAAAGGAATGAAGTTGGACCCTTCCTTAATATCATATACAAAAAATTAACTCAAATTGGATCAAGACCTAATTTTAAGACCTAAAAGTATAAAACTCTTAGAAGAAAACATAGGGCAAAATCTAGAACCATGAGCCAAGTAAACCATTTTTCTTTATAAAATATCCAACCTCAGGTATTCTATTATAGTACCAGAAAACTGACTAATATGTGGGAGAGACCATAAGGAGGACCAAGGGAGACAGGGATGAGCAGAGACTGTGAAAATGAAAGGACAAAGTGGGCTCAAAGACAGGGGTCTGCGGGAAAGGGGAGAGGCTGAGTCATACAGAAATGCCAGCTGCATCTCCACACATGTGTTGTCTTCACACTGCAAATCTGACGTGAAGGCCTGGCCTTCAGGGTTATGCACTGTAGGCACAGCTTGGTTCTTAGCCTCGTTAACTCAAAACTCCCTATAGAGCAAGACTAATCCCCACAGAATAAACACACAGCAGGAGGAGGGCTCCCTCCACACACAACCCACAACCACAACCAGGTGGCACACATGCCTGCTGTCTGCCTTCTCAGCTTGGTCACCCCAAAACTGACAGCTCGCCATCATCAAGGCAGCCACCTGGCTTCCGTCACGTGGACCACACATGCCATGCTGTGTCACGCTGACTCCACACCAAGTTACTGACTTCACGGCCCGCTGTTCAGCCCTGGAGCCGTGCCACCTCTGAATGAAGGGGTGGATAACATTGTGGCATTTTAAAATTATCTTAAATTATAACTGAGTTTTAAAATAGCATTACGAAAGTCACCAAAATGCAGGGCAGGGTTTCTGACGCACATAAACAGGACACCCTGCCAGGAATGGAGACAGTTTTGCATTTCTGTTCTCGGCTGATGTGGCGCCACCGCGTGGCAACAGCTCTGAACACCAGGCAGCAGAGCGGGTGGGGAAAAGTAGCAGAAAAGAAACTTGCCAAGGGTCTGCTTTGTTTTCGTGGCGGGTTCCATGCTGTAGAGTCCCCTTGGGTGGGCTGGGCAGCTGTGTGGGATGATGGTGCCCACTTCTCTATCAGGTCCGGCAAAGGGACAAGGAAATGAGAGGCCTTCCAACTGTATCAACCCCTGGAGAGTCCAGGCAGAAGGGACACCAGGGACCGAATTTCTGGCGTTCCCCACTATCTCCACCATAACCAAGCCAGGAAAGCAGCACTCCTCTTTTGTCTTTGTAATTTTTTTTTTTGGTCTGTTGTTTTGATTTTTGAGATGGGCTTCACTATATTGCCCAGGCTGGTTTCAAACTTCTGGGCCTCAAATGATCCTCCTGCCTTAGCCTTCCTCCTAAGTAGCAGGGACTACAGGTGCTGCTATTACACCCAGCTTCTTTTCTATATGAAAACCAGGAAATAAGCTAGGTGCAGTGGCACATGCCTATAATTCTAGGTACCTGGGAGGCTGAGGCAGGAGGATCACAAGTTGGAGGCCAATATGGGAAATTAGTGAGAATCTGTCTCAAAATAAATTCTGGGGATGTAGCTTAGTAGTAGAGCACCCCTGGATTTAATCCCGGATATGAAAGATAGAAGAAAGGAGGGAGAGAGGGAGGGAGGAGTCGGAGCAGCAGCATACACCTGTAGTCCCAACTACTGGGGAGGCACAGGCAGAAGGATCACTTGAACACGTAAGTTCAAGACCAATCTATCGAGATCCAGTCTTTAAAAATCAGGAAGTAGAGAGGGACCCAAGCTAGCATGCTTGTTCTGTCTCTGACACTCTCGCCAGGGTGACATGCACCAAGACCCTCCCATGCACCACAGCCTGCTCTTCCTTACCTCCTGAACCTCGAGCTACACAAACCTCTGTCCTCTATAAATCACCCAGTGTGTGGTATTTGATTACGTAACAGAAAATGGAGTGAGACACAGCATAAAGCAAAACTACAAATAATCCTTTAGGTTTCTTAAATCACCAAGATCCGGATTCTGGGGAATCCCAATGGCTAGATTCTTCGGTTTCTCCCTGTCGTTCAGCTGTGGCCTCTCTCCCCCCAACAGTGGAAACAAAGGTCAGAGGAAAGATGACCAGGAAAACAGAAAGACAGTTTTCCACTCTCTCCACTGCTTTGTTTTTACCAAAATTCTGAAGTTGCCAAAGTCACATGAGCCTGTGACGCTACTGCAGTGTAAAATGAAGACCACCCTGTTCAGAGCGGACAAGCCTGGGTCTCCTCTGGACAGCTGAAGCACTGCCACCCTGCAGCAGGAACTGTGCCTGGTACTCTGACTGCCTGGGGCGGCCCTGTGGACACGGGAGGTGCTGCTGGGGACAGGAGGGGCAGAGGCTCCTTCCCCATCAGAGCTGCTTACCCCCACCACAGGCCTGGATGAAAAAGAGCTTGGGCTTCCCCCCCAGGCTGGGGCAGCTGGTCCCGTTGAAGATGTTCACAATCCTCTCGACGGACACAGAACATCCATCTGTGCCGTAGACAGCACCCGGAAACTGGAGGTGGCTGGCCTAGAAGACCAAGGACCCTGGTTAAAACCAAGACACCGCGGCAGAAATCCAGCGGCCTTTCCAGAGGCTTTGTGGGGGCCACACACTCAGAAGGTCCCCCTGGGGCTCTGGACTGACTGTGACAGAGCAGGTTGATCCTGGAAGGGCCCTGAGCAGCATCTGTCCCTGGACAGGCCAGCTATCAAGAGTGCTGGGCAGCTGCCGCTAGACCAGAAGCCCCCCCAAGTGTGATCCCTGGACCAGCAGCATCCGCATCACTCAGAACATTCAGGAAGTGTTCATCCTCCCAAGCGCTGAGCAGTCAGAGCCGCTGCTCCAGGGCTCTTCCTATGCACAGGACCACAAGGCCACCCGTCAAAGCTCTGGACACAGGTCCACTTAGGGCCTGAGGCTTCTCATGAGGCTCAGGGGACACCCCTGCTGCCACACTGTGAGTGAAAGGCCCAAAAGGTTGCGCCTGCTGGCAACAGGCCAGAGTTCTGCTCTGGGAAGATGGCAGGCTGGCAGGCCAGACCATGATGGTTTCCAAGAAGGGGAAATCCTGACTTTTTTTTTTAAAGAGAGAGAGAGAGAGAGAGAGAGAGAGGATTTTAATATTTATTTTTTAGTTCTCGGTGGACACAACATCTTTGTTTGTATGTGGTGCTGAGGATCGAACCCGGGCCGCACGCATGCCAGGCGAGCGCGCTACCACTTGAGCCACATCCCCAGCCCAATCCTGATGTTTTATGTGTTCTGAAAACAGGGTGAAGGCCAAGGGGTAACTGTTGGGCTGTCCAACCCCCAGCATAAAAGATGAGGACTCCAAGGCCCGGCAGGGGCAGGGGCAGGGGCTTGGCCACAGTGAGTCAGCACATCACTGGCCAAGCCCTGAGCATGTCCCGGTGCCTGAGTCCCCCAGAGCAAGGGCCTGAACACCCTGCGGGGCCTGAGGATTTGAGTGCCGCACACAGCTCCACACAGAACTGGGTGGAAGCTTTGAGAGTACAGCTCGCCCCTCCCTCATGTCCTGTGGGCATCTCTCGGGAGGCTGCCCACCCGGGGCCCCCTGGGAGAACGGCAAGAGGTGGACAGGGCTGCACGGTTCTTCACAAAGCCAAGGGTGCGGTGGACACGAGGGACAGGAGTCCTGCAGGGCCTCTCGCCCAGCTTCGCCTGTGCCTGACGGGGAGCAGGGTCGGGGAGAGGCCTCCTACCTGACAGCCGTGGGAGAGGATGACCACCGCACAGCAGTCCAGGGCACGGTGGTCCCGCTGCGCCAGCTCTACCAAAGCCTGGACCATCTTCTACAAGGGAAGGCTGCAGGTGAGCCAGAGCACTGGCCATCAGGCCACCTGCCTGCCGCAGAGGGCAGGGCCCAGCATTCGCCCTGCCTCCAAGGGCCAATTCTGAGGTAATCGTCACAACAGCCCCATGCTCAGGGGAAAAGGTCTGAGCTCAGGCACCTTCTTGTAATCCCACAGCAGCCCCCTAGGGGACTCTTCTGGCCTTCTAGACAGGGACACTGAGGCACGTGTCACATGCAGGCAGCAGGCCGCATGCCCTCCTGAGTGTCACCCTGGGACACACCCCATGGTCCTACAGAGGCAGTGCTCATCTGGGAAGTCCCCAGCCTGCTCCCAGGGTCTCCTGCAGGGCGCTGCCCACTCGCCTCGGCTCCCCCACGTGCGGTGACAGGTGACTGTACCTTGGCAGTCAGGTTGCACGTCACCTCCACGGTGAAATGCAGCGAGCGGAAGCGGCGCTGCATCTTCTCACAGTCCACGTTGGAGGCCAGGCGCGCGCTGAGCCCCGATGCGCGGGAGAAGCTCACGTTGTTGATGATGAGGCAGTGGCCGCAGGGGTCCGCGCGCAGGACGTACGCCTGCCCCAGGGACGGGGGACAGGACCAATGTAAGCGGGGCTGTCCCACTTCCTGGAGGAGGTGACCCTGCTTCTCACTCAGGGGCTGACAGCTGAGAGGTGGGAGAGGCATGGGCGTCCCTTCCACTGCAGGCCCCACCCGGGACTCCAGGACACAGAGGGACCGAGGGAGCCGCAGGGCGGGCACTGGCTGCCCCTTACAGAGAGACGCAGGCTTCCGACTCTGTGCTCAGGGACGGAGCAGCTGGCTTAGAAAGCCTGTGACCCACTGGTGCCACACAACAGTCGGTGGCTCTCACCCAGGTGCACTTGGCGGTGAGGCAGCTGCGTCCGCAGACTTCGCCCAGACCTGGCCCCGGAGGCCGAGGCCGCCTCCCCCGGCCCCCGCGACCCTCCCACAGCTGCCTCTTCCTGCTCTGGGACTTGCTGCCCTTTATTTGCGCCTTCCCTTGCCGAGCTTCCCTCCCCGGCCAGACTGAGGGCTCCCTGTGGCCTCCATCCCAGGGCAGCGCCCAGGAGCCACCCAACAATACACAGGTGGGGACAAGAGTGCGAGTGTCCTGGCATGGAAGAGCACCACAGCCGGTGCTGACGACGTCCCGTTAGGTGGGACCTGATTCTACCGCTGGGGTGAAGCAGGCCTGCTCGATGGCTTCAGTGAGCACCAAACCCAGGTCAGAGCCATGGACGGCGGGGCCGGAACCTCGTTCCCCAACTGGGCTGGGTCCCCAGGACTCCTGACGGCTGCAGGGAAGGGGCGAGGCTGATGAGAGGGACAGGCCCCTAGTCTCATGGAGACTCACCAAATCTGTGTTTCCCCTCGACAGCTCCTGAGCATCTGGAGAGACAGACAGAAAGAGAAACGTGAGTGCTGGGGCCCCAGGGAAAGGCCAAGGGACCACGTGGGGAGAGCTCCCACAAAACAGAGCGAGCCGGGACTCGGGACCCCAAGCTCTGCTGGTGATGGGATCAAGTGGCACAGCCACCGTGGAGAACTGAGTGGAAGTTTCTAACAAAGTCGAACACACACAGACCCTGGGCCTCTGGCCACATCTCCAAGAGGCCTCCTCATAAAGCCCCCGAGCGACGCTACCAACCCAACAACAGGCTGACGGACACACAAACTGACAAGCAGCCACACAGCCCACCACAGAACGGGCTACCACACACGCGGTGCCACAGGAGGCCTTAAAACAGGCTCTGCGTCAGAATGCCAATTAGCCCAATTTAACTGGAGTGACCCCTGAGCCTTTTAGTCGCAAGAACAGAAACCCGGCACGCTGCCTGATATGGCCACCAACAGCTCTCCCAGCTCCCTGCTGCAGGAGGCCCTGGCCGGGACAAGCAGCCACACACGAGCCATCACATTTTTTTTTTAATATTTATTTTTTAGTTGTAGTTGGACATAATACTTTTATTTCACTTATTTATTTTTATGTGGTGCTGAGGATTGAACCCAGGGTCTCGTGCATGCAAGGCAAGTACTCTACCGCTGAGCCACAACCCCAGCACCCGCCACCCGAGCCATCACATTTTAAAAGCTCATTCCATTCTGAAGCAAACGCATTTCCCCCCAATGTACACAGACAAAGCCACGCGCTCTGGTGGCACACAAACAGAGACGAGAAAGAAGATGAGCCATTTGTTCTTTGAGGCAGTAGATGGAGTGAGTGAGATCTTGGAGCCAAGGTTCAAATCCTAGCCCTGCCACTTATCTGCTGCATGACCCTGGGCAAGTTGCTCAGAGTCTCTGAGCCTCTGTTCCCCCATCTGTATCCCAGGATGAGAGAAGCAGCTGCCAGCATCAGGGTTGTGGTGAGTTCCCAGTTGATGGGCACACCAGTCCTGCCATAATCGACAGCTCAGTAACACTGAGTGTGCCCATTTTTGTTTTTATTCACACTCCTGCTCCAGAGCAGCAGGGGTACTAACCAGCACCCTGACATTTTGGGCTGGGTTACTCTATTTTGGATGGCTGTCCCATGTGTCATGGGATATACAGCCACATCCCCAACCTGTACCCACCAGATGCCAGCAGCACCCACTCACCTTCAGCTGTAATGACCAGATGTACCTCTAGGCACTGCCAAACATCCCTGGGGAAGGGGACAAAATAAAAATTGCTCTTTGCTCAGACACACTGACCTTCCTATAGCACCCTTCCCGGGCCGACTCAGCAAAGGCCCTGTGAAGTCCTGTGGTGGCCCTGCTGCCGTAGCCCAGATGTTCCTACCCTCGACTGCAGAATGAAATCCACCTAAGGAAACCCTCTGGACAGTGCCCATGACCTCACGCCCAGCACCTAAAAAGGACAACTCTGACCAGCACCAGAAGTCAGAGCCCAGTGCTGCACCGGAACCCTCATGTGACCTGCTCTCAGAGACCCGCTTCTTCCCCTACAAACTGGAGATGATAACAGAGGGGCTTTCCCTGCCCGCCACTACAAACATTTGTTTGTTTACTTCATGAGGTTTTTTAGTGTTTTGGGGCTTTTGTTTTTTGGTAACTGGGGATGGAAACCTAGTGTTCTACCACTGAGCTACATCCCAGCCCTTTTTATTTTATCTTTTTTTTCATTACAATTCTTATTACATATATAGAGCACAATTTTTCATATCTCTGTATATAACGTATGTTCCTTTTTATTCTATCTTGAAACAGGATCTCACTAAGTTGCCCAGACTGGCCTCCAACTTATGATCCTCCTGCCTCAGCCTCTGAGTTGTGGGATTACAGGTGTGTGCACCACCGCATGTGGCCATGGCACAGTTTAGACCACCTAGAAAAAAACAGCATGCATAGTAAAGTGATGTTCATATTTAAGGTGATCCTATTATCACTAGTATCATCTATCTACCCGTAGGACAGCACACTTCAAGTCTAGACCGTTGGTCCTAAATGACTCAAACGGACACTTCTCAGAACCAGACGGCAACATGGGAACTTTGTATTTTGCCTGCCTCTTCCCTAGCCGGGCAATAATGCATAAGAACGATTCCAACACCTCACTTCCTCATGTTGTTGGCTGCCCTGCTTTAGCAGGCTGTCTGAAGTCACAGTCATCAGGACAGACAGCACTTTTCACACGGCTCACGGGAAAACGCGTAAGGCATCAAAAAGGGCGTCACTGTTGGCAAGGACATGGAGGAAGGATCACCTCTACCCTCATTTCACGAAATTATAAAACACATTTTTGAAAGCCAAGCTGGTAGCATCTATCAGAGGGATAACCACGATTTCTTTTGAAGATACACGTTGTTATGGGCCAGGCTATATGGGCAATGACCACACAGACTCCATTTTACCCTGAGACTCCTTAGCATGTACGAAAGGCTTCTCCCGTGGGAAAGCCCGCCTCTGTTCCCACTAATAGTCACCCAGCATAGCACACTTGGCAACACAAAATAGCAATTCTTATACAATGTAAAATTGTTCTCTTTGGTTTCCATTTTTTTTTAAGAGAGAGTGAGAGAGAGAGAATTTTTTAATATTTATTTTTTAGTTTTCGGCGGACACAACATCCTTGTTTGTACGTGGTGCTGAGGATCGAACCCGGGCCACATGCATGCCAGGCGAGCGCGCTACCGCTTGAGCCACATCCCCAGCCCCTGGTTTCCATTTCTCTTGGGCAATGTACCTTGTCAAGATTGACTGTCTAGACATTAGTAACCATTCTCTAACATGTACTGAACTAGGGTCATTTTGACCCCCTTCCCTTCTGCTGGCTTGCTGCCATGCCAACCTGGAAAGTCCTGTGGGAAATACCAATGTACCCGTTGCATTGTCTCACTAACTGCCCAGCTCAGCTTCTGTACCTGCTTGCTTGCAGCTACGGCAACCCGGATGTGGTTTTTGCCTTTAACTATCCTAAAATGCTTAGGCTCGGGACTGTTCCTTGCAGAGACACTTATGGGTCTTGTGGGGGAGCAGTCACGGCCAGGCAGATAAATAAAGACTCTTCAATTTGGACAAAACTGGGACTTCATGTGTTTTCTGAGCAACCTGCCCCACAACAACATCCCCTGTCAGAGAGAGACGTGTGCCAGGAGGGGTGGGACAAATGACACACAGCGGCCCACATGAAGCTGCAGGAGTTGAGTACTTAGCACAGAACAAACTGGTCAATCCACAGCCCTGCTTTGGTGGCACCTAAGGTCTGAAAAGGTAGCTATCTCAGGATGCCTGGTTTGACCTCAGCCCTATAATCTATTCCTCTAACAGCAAGAGAAAGAGATATATATAGTCAAGGGAGGACAAAGGTATGTTTGCTCAGAAGGGCACACCGCCTAGACCTCTTAACACCACCCTGCGCAGCACAGAGCAGTGATTCCCAGACCTGGGAAAGCCTGGTGCTGGAGATGGAGCCCACCCACCATAAACTCTGCAAAACCAGTTCCAATTAGGACCTGTCAGCCAGGCCAAGACCACCAAGAGATGCCCTCGGTTGTAATCAACCCCAAGCCCAGAGGTGACACCTGGGCAGGATCTAACAAACTCCCTCCTTCCCCAATAAAAGTTGGGACACCAGGAAGTGAGCTGTCACTCTCCCTGGGTGATTTTCCCCATCCTCTTCCTCTTTTAATAAACTGCACTATACTTTGATCAAGTCTTGTGTCTTGCTTGAAATCCTCTCACACAGACAGAGCTGAGAACACAGCGTGACCTCCGGGAAGCTCAGGTGTTATCTCTACTGCCAGGGCTAGAGAGCAGTACAGGCAGAGCAGGGTGGCCTAGGCAGCAATCCATTTCATTTCCATTTCCACCTCACACCAGCTGTGTGATTTGGGGACAATCATTTCCAAGTCTATAACTTACTCTGTTCAACAGTAAAATAGGAAAACCATAGCACCTGCTTCACCCGAGATGGAAAGATTAAATTAAATCATGCAAGTGCGGCGAACGGGGCCTGGCAGACAGCAAGTAGTGGATGACGCTAACCCTACTGTTGTTACTAGCTCAATGCCACGCAGGGGTCCCTCAGGCAGTCACAGAAGAGGAAGCACATGCCAGGTGAGGTTGTGCACATTGTAATCACACAAGGCTGAGGCAGAGGATCCTAAGTTCAAGGCCAACCTGGGACACTTAGACCCTGTCTCAAAATAAAGTATAAAATGGGCTAGAGAAATAGCTCTGTGGTAGAGTGCCTGGAGATAGGGGTGGGGGGACATGAAATATCCCTGGAGGCAAAGCCCTAACTGACAATAAACCACCAACAGGAGGTTAGATAAACCCTAAGCGGTTCAGAATAGGAGTTGCCACCACCTGAATGGAATGAAGTATTGACCCGCACAGCACAGTGACTGGATCCCACAGAGGTATGACAGGAAGAAGCCAGAGACTCCAGACTCACACGTGGGATGTCACTCACGTTGCACTTCAAGCAAAAGGGATCAGTGATGACAGAGACTGGAACAATGACTACCTCAGGCTGAGAAGGGGGACAGACGGAAAGAGAAGAGTCTCCTAAGACACTGGAATATTCTGTACCATGATGAACTGGGCAGTGGTTACCTGTGTGGAGAGAATCATCCAGCTGCACTCCGGGGATTTATGCATGTTACTGGATGTAACCTTGTGACTTCAGGCAAATTATTTCACCTCCCTGGACCTGGCTTCATTCCTGTCCCTCAGGACAGACAGCACTAAATACTGCCTTTTAGGGCTGCTGTGAGGGAAGGAGGTCAGGGTGTACGCCACGCTGGGCTGACCCCCTTCTGCCACAAGCCATGGGCTAGTCCAAGCTACTCACCACTACCCAAAGGCAAATCCAGAACAGCTGGGCTTTGACACTCTGATCAAAAACAGGGACACCCAAAATAGACTCCAGCACCTGCCAAAATTATGTCTTTGAAGACCTACTAGAATGTTCCACCTATCAGCACTCAGTAAGACAACACCATGATTGAATTCTGACCTCAGCCTACCTGGCTGTACCCAGTGACCACACATCATGCCCACCCACCAACCACCCTCTCAGTACTCACGGGCATCCCTGAATTCTCCAGAACCAACGTCCACTGGCCTGAGAACCTCTGGCCTGAGCTTAGCTGGCGGGAGCTCCCTGGGCCCCAGCACCACTGGGGTGAGGTTTCCTGAGGCTGGCTTCACTGGATCCAGCATCATCACACGCAGCTCCTCTGGCACAAGGTCCAGGGATCTGACGGCCTCAGGATCCCGCTTTACCGCTTGCCGACTTGTCCGCAGCAATGAAGCCAGTGTGTCCTGACCCGTGTCCTCTAAGCAGGAGATGAACAAAGGAAGGGCCTGCCTCCCTCGGGTCTCAAGATCTATGACCAGCTGCCGGGCCTGATCCCGGCGAGACCCAGAGCCTGCCAGCTGTTGGAGAGAAAGATCAGACATACATTACCCCAGGCACCCTCATGTGGCCCTCACCTGTGCCCCACTTCCCACCTAGCAGAAGTCTAGACAACCAGGCCACCAGGCAGAAACCGAGCTGCACGTGAGCCCACGCTCCTCTGCAGCCTTTGCTCATCTGGTCACGCAGCATCTCAGAAGCACATGCTATTGCCCAGCATGGTGCTACGTGCTAAAAGCACAGCAGGGACAGGGTCAGTCCTCAGGTGCAAACATCTAGTGGGGGTACAGGGAGGAAAAGCACCGGTGACACAGCAAGGGAAAGCCCATGAGGCTGTCAGGGTACAACTGCCAGCCAACTCAGCCCTGGGGGCTGGAAAGGCCCCAGAAGGGGAAGGCTTAGCTGAGACCCCAGGGAAGATGAAGAATGAACAGTGAACTACAGAAACCGAAGGGAGGAGGTGGGTAGTGGTGAGGGATGAGACCTTTGTGTGGCCAGGCCTAGAACTCATCCTGAGAGCTGTGAGGAGCAAACAAAGCGACAGAGTGAGATCTGACTTTTGAAAAGTCACCTGCGGACAGGGAGGACAACGGAAAGGAGTGAGCCACAGCCACACCGGGAGGTGCCAAAAATGGCTGGAATGGAGAGAAATGAGAGGACAGATCAGGAGGGAGAATCCACAGGACATAGGCACTGACTGGGTGGGACGTGAGGACAGAATGATCAAGACTGACACAGAACAGGCGGAAGACAAAACGCTGGTTATCTGCTGCCCTTTCTTGGAGACCTGACACTGGACAAGTTCTTCAGGATCCACAGGACAAAAAAAGAGGTGGGACCTCAAGATCCACAGGGATATGACACCATCTTGTCCTCAAAATTTCTACTGCAGCACTGTCCAAGATAACTTTCCATGGTGCTGCAAATCTGCACCTGAGCTGTTTGACATGCCAGCTATCAGTCACTTGGGGCTGTTGAGTGCCTGGGACAAATAGATGAGGAACCCAACTTTTAATTTATTTCATTTTAGTTACTTAATATCCATTTAAATAGCCACATGTGGCCAATGGCTGCTAAACTGAACAATAGCCCTCCATGTTACTGGGAGGATAAGTGTCTCTGGCAAAATGGCTTCCTGCAAACAGACAGTGGTGTTGCGATTTCTCTGGGCACTAATGGTGATATTAGATGCATCATTTCATTTCCCCCCCTCAACCACTTCAAAGGGCTAAGTTACAACTTTTCACCTTACTCATGAGGGAAACTGAGTCACCAAAACTTTTTTGTTTTAGTTTCTTTTGCTATTCACTAATACAGACTGAGCAACCCTAATCTGAAAATCAAAAACACTCCAAAATCCTAAATATTTGGAGCCCAAAAATGATACTACAAGTGGAAAAATTCACATTATGAAACTTTATTTCATGCACAAGATTACATAAAACATTATGTTAAAAATTACCTTTGGGGGAGAAGGACATGAATGTGTATTTTAAAGATAGTGGTTATTTTATTTCTTAAAGTGGGTAGTACATAGGTATTTATTTTATGATTTTTTAATGAGCATGTTATTGATGTATATTAAAAGTTTCATATACATAAGAAAATATATTTAGTGTAATAATAATGACATAGTCAACAACAATAAAATTATTTAATTGTGCATCACTTTAGGAAAATAAATACCTTCAGGCAATGTGTATAAGGTATATACATATATATGACACATAAATGAACTTCTTATTTAGAATTGGGTTCCATCCCCAAGGTACTTCATTATGTACATACAAGTATTTCAAAAATCTCCCAAAATCCAAAATCCAAAACATTTTGGTCCCAAGCATTTTGGATACAAGATATTGATTCAACCTGCATGTAACAAAGCCAGAATGGGGGTCCAGATTCATCTAGGTCCTAAGCCTGTGTGTTTACCAGCCATACCAGTGGTGGCAAAATGGCCACCTCTGGTTACTTGAAAAAATTTTGAATTTGTTGCTAACATTTTAAGTCAAGGAAAAATGACAGAAATTGAGATTCCCAGCCTCTCTCAAAATTTGAAAAAGGTAGCAACACTCAGCTAGAGTGAGGCTGAGGGCAGAGGCTGCTCTAGTGTCCACCTGTGGGCCTTCCCTTTAGCTTGTGGTCCCTGTGCATGTGTCTGAAAGCAAGGACTATGGCCTGGAACCACTTTCACTGCCCAGTATGGGCCACAGAATAGGTTCTCCTGATACTTCTTTTATTATTAATTGGTAATTACCCATATGACACTGGACCACTTTATCCTATTAAAGATGCCTTCTCAGGACCAGGCCAAGCTCCTGGATGATGCAGAGGATGGAGCCTTGGCCTGTAAAGCAGCCCCTGGGGCACCAGCCAGGGGCCTCCAGCTGGCCATTCATGGCGGGAAATACTCCTTCCTGTATCTTTACAGGCCTGTGGTGAGGCTCAAACTGGGCAAAGATGTGAAAGTGCTTGTTTAGAAAGCCTCAAGTTTGCCTTTATTAGTCCATCCATCCCCCGCATCAGGGCCCGTCATTTTCAAAACCTCTCACTTCATGCAGGAGGTGGGTGAAGAGGGCAGGGGCACACTGTCTGCGCCTGGCGCCGCCCCATTTCACACACTGTTTCGCTTCGTCCTCGGGCAATATCACTGCTGCCCCATTTCTCAGAGGATCGGACTCTCTCAGGGGACAGCAGTGGGCGTCCAGAACCTCTGTGCTACCGAATGAAAACACACAGCCTCCTCCTCACAAGACACGCGCATGGTGGCAGCGCTGACCGTGCGGGGCGTCGAATCGCCTTAGCAGACCCGCAACCAGGGGGGCCTGGGATTCTCTGGTTCCATTGCAGGATTTCGGGGGCTCCCCAAGAGGGATGGGCACCGATGTGCAACGCGGAGAGAGGAGGGCGGGAGCGGGGCCTTTAAGCCAAGGGGTGGCTTCTACAGCCTTCGTGGCACATCCTCGCGGCTCCCACCAGAGACGTGAACGTCCACGCGCCGCACAAGGAGCAGAGAACGCAGACGAGCAGGGACACTCACGTACCTGGATGTCCTCGATCATGTCGGGCGTGAAGAGCTCGCGACTCAGCAGGGCGTCCCAGAGCGGGGCCACCTGCAGCTCGCTCACCAAGCGCACCCGGCAGCGCCGCAGGAGCTGCCGGTCCGCTTCATCCATGGCCGGCAGAACGCTGGACCCGGGACCCTGCCAGCTTCCGGGCAGCGGGGCCGCGCCCCGCGCCCCCCGCCCCGCCCCTCCATCGCCCCGCCCCTCCATCGCCCCGCGCCCTCCGCAGGCCCCGCCCCCGCACCGCACCGCTTCCCGGGAGCCCGCCCCTAGGCCGAGCCACAGCTACTTCCGGGCCCACTTGGCTCCGCCCCCAGCCTATCGCCCCGCCCCACAACCCGACCCATGACGCTGCTCCGCCCTCGCCCCGCCCAGGACCTGCCCCCACGTCAGTCTCCGCCCTTGAGCCTTAACCCCGCCCCCTGCGTGCGGTTACGTCACTACACCGATGCCGCCTACTTACCCTTGCCCCGCCCTCGGGTCAACCCCGACGCCACTGCTCCGCCCCTGAGTTGGGGCTTCCCTTCGGGGGCCCTCCTGCGGCCCGCGCCGCCGCGTGCAGGTAACTGTAAGCGATTTTGCACCTTCCCCTCTCCCTGCCTTCGGCACGATGACCCTCTTTTATGGAGACTCGGGCACTCACACGACTAGCAAAAGGGAAAGCCCGGCCTAGAGCCCTGTCTGTCCTGACGCGTTCAGCCCCCTCCAGTTGAGGCTCCCCTCTAGCCGCCTGCCTCCGCTCCCATTCCTCCCGGAGACTCGGATCTGGCGCTTACCTTCCAAAGGCGTGTGTCTCATCCGACCTACACAGTCTACCTTACACAGTCTCCAAGCCCCACTTCCCTCCCTCCCACCGTAGCACATCCCACCAAGAAAAAACACTGGCAGAAATCTAGTCTACTGAACGCTAATAGTTTTCTTGTGCTCATTTCTTCCTACTTTTCAAAACTAGTTGTTCTGTTGAGCGTCTACTAAATGCCACCTTTGTACTACTCACTTTACAAGCTTTATATCACTTATTCCTAAGTCCTGCCAGAGAAAAAAATCTTTGCCTAATATACAGATGTAGTCACTGGGGTTCAGGGAAGAGAAGTCAAAGACAGGCAGAGATATGCAGAACTCAAACCCTAACCTGACTCTCAACACACTTTCATCCCTAAGGTACTGGGGATTGAACGCAGGTCTACCACTGAGCTACATCCCCAGCCCTTTCTATTTTGAGAAGGGGTTGTTGAATTGCTCAGGCTGGCCTCAAACTTGAGATCCCCCACAGCCTCCTGAGTCTCTGGGACTGCAGGCGTGCACCACTACACTGGACTTGACTCTACACATTTGGGGGGGGGGGTACTGGGGCTTGAACTCAGGGGCACTCGACCACTGAGCCACATCCCCAGCCCCATTTTGTATTTCATTTAGAGAAAGGGTCTCACTGAGTTACTTAGCACCTCACCTTGCTGAGGCTGACTTTGAACTCCAGATTCTCCTGCCTCAGCCTCCAGAGCTGAGCTGCTGGGATTACAGGCATGTGCCTCTGCGGCCAGCTGACTCTACACTCTTAACCAAGAATCCACTTTGGAATATGTCAAAACACAAAAATAATGTTAAGATCTCAATTTGCTTCATGATTCTAAAATCAGGAAACACTTCATCCCATAAAATGGAATGAACATTCTGATAAACTGAGCAGGGGAGGTTGGTTTTCTAGACAAACCAAAGTTAAGGAAAGCAGAAAGAGGAAACAGAAAGCAGATTAGTTGTTTCAAAGTTACTCTGTTGAACCAGGACGCAAAGACAAGACCACTGACTCCAATTTTAAATCAAATTAAAGCAAGCTTGTATTGTGTACACAAAAGCTGGCCAGCGGCTGTATCTTCCAAAGCCGGGCTAGAGATTGGCTAGAGATCAGCCCAGCTCTCAGGAAGGAAAAGGTTTATATAGCATAAAAAGTGACAAAGGGGGGTGTCTTGGGAACTTACAGCCAACAGGGTTCTGGCAAACATATTACAAGGGCAAATAGCAGCTTAATGATCTACATGGCATGATATTTCAAGGTAGGAAGTAAATTCAGATCCTAACATCAGAATTTATGAGGTGCTGCTGAGGTTTCAGAGAGAGTTGTTATCTGATCAAGGGGAGCCAGGATTTATGAGGCACCACTAAGGTTTTAGAGAGGGTTGTTATCTGATTAAAGGGAGCCAGGAATGGGTGAATTCAGAGCACGGCCAGGAATTCCAAACAAGTTTAGAAATCTCAGTAATTTATAATAAAATAGAAATTATCTTTTCACGACTTTGTGACAAGATGGCTCCCAGTCTTAAGATGGAATTAGGCTGAGTTCATCAACTTTCCTTACACAGGTTAAAACAGGGGAGACTTGGGGCTGAAGATATAGCTCAGTTGGTAGAGTACTTTCCTTGCATGCACAAGACCCTGGGTTCTATCCCCAGCAACACACACACACTCACACTCACAAAAGGGAGACTTATCATGTTGGCTAAAACTGGCCTGTTTGGGGATTGGCTATTATCTCTCTCCTGATTTCTCAGGTCAGATAAACAGCTTAGCTTTGGCTTGGTGTCAGAATTTTGGCTGGAGAGACTGAAGGATATTCAGAATAATAAGTCCAAGGACATTTCCACTATTTGCAACTGTTCCCCCACTTGTCCTCCTTCTCTGGGGTAAAATTGAAACTTTTGTCATTTAAAAGTCCAGGCCTCAGCACAAAAAGAATCTGATTGGCACCAGACCCCAATACCATAAGCCCCAGGAAATTCCCTATTCACACTCCTGTCCCACCCTAAGGTATCAGCCAACCCAATACAATGAACCCCAGAAACTACCCTCCTGTCACCACCAAATGAAGCCTATATAACTGTAAGGATGGCCTTAACCTAACAATGGCCTTAGCCTAAGTAACTCTGGTTTAAAATAAACCTGCAGGTCCACCAGGCACAGCCTCCAGAGCCCTCCAATATGAATCAGGCATAGCCTGATGAAGTCACTCTCTACAACCCTGACAAAACCAAGAGTGAAGACCCTGGTGAGAATGGTGACTCCTCTTTAGGACTCTCTCCTCAGCCAGCCGTCAACTCCACCCCAGGAGAAGCCTCCATGAGTTCCTGACCTGATCACTGCAGCCTGAGTGAGTGAGCATCTGCTGGACTTAAACCAAGACTTGAGACTCTAGACTTGACACTTAAGCTGAGCATGCAGAGAGAATGTCTGGCACGAGTCTATCATGATTAAGTGTGTTTGCAGTGCTTAGAGTTAACTTAGAATTGTTTGTTTTGAATTGATTATGTCTATTGCAGTGCCCAGCACTAAAGGTTGTAATTTTCTTTTTTCTTTTCTTTTCTTTTTCTTTCTTTTTTTTTTTTTTAGAGACAGGAGAGAGAGAGAGAGAGAATTTTAATTTTTTTTTTTTTTTTTTTTTTAGTTTTCGGCGGACACAACATCTTTGTATGTGGTGCTAAGGATTGAACCCGGGCTGCACGCATGCCAGGCGCTTGAGCCACATCCCCAGCCCTCATTTTCTTGATTAATAATCTAGTTCTTAATCTTGATTAAGTTCATAACTAGGTTCTTAATCAATGATTTTAAAAAAAAGAACCTATAGAGTCAAATTGTATTGAGTGATTTAAGCATTGAAAACAGCATTAGCACATGAACATTCTTCATGTCTCCCCTTGACATCCCTTAGGGTCGCAAGTTTGCCATCCAGAGGATAACCCAGACCCTTGTTTTAGCCCTCACCATTTTCCACCGTGAAAATGAGCCACACAAGTTGTTCAACTTATTGACTCTGCCGTTGAATAAGAAAGAGCTTGCAGATCTGAGGCCTGCTTCCCACTTCCAGCCCTCCTCCTTTGAGCAAAACTTTTGCTTGCAGAGACTGTTTTGATCTGTTGGGGTTTAGTACCCATGCTCAGTCCAAAACAACTAATTTTGGCTTAACAAATGAAACCACTTGAGCTGCAGAACGGTAGCTCAGAGGCTGGGGTGTAGTTCAACGATTAGAGCACTTACCTAGCATGGGACTGAGAGCCTCAATTCAGTCCCCAATACTGGAGAAAATCAAAAGCAGCTCCATTCTTTTACATATTTCACAAGTATTGGAGACTGCATGTGCCAAGGTCTGTGCAGGCACAAAGAATATAGATGTAGACAATACAGATAAGATCCTTTAAGGACTGAGGAGGTAGCTCAGGACAGAGCTTTGCATATCTAAGGCCCTGAGTTTTATCCCCCTCCAGGACCACACAGACAAAATAAAACCTTTGCCTCAGGGGCTTACATTGCAGTAGGGAGATAGATCATAAAAATTATAAACAAATAAAAGGTACAGCATGATAAATAGTGATAAATGCAAATGATAGAAAACTAAGAATGTTGTGAAGAGACTGCTCAGAAAATACACCAAATCCGAATTTGAAATCATTTGAAGAATTTTTATTTTACCTATATTGCCAATTACACCTGTCCAGGGGCTGAGTCTAGCAGAGTCCAAGTGACCCTCTGAAAGAACAGGAGCCCCCTCTGAGGGAAATTTGCTATGTAAGGATGAAAACCACATCCTATGGAATTTTTCAGTTAGCAAGCAAGCAAGTTACAGAAGCTAAAAAAATAAGATTAAAAAATTGTTTTAAATTTTAAAAAGAAAGCTGTTAGCAGAACAACTCAGTCAACCTCATCTTGGGTCCAGCAGGTGCTAGACAACAGTCAAACAGGTGGTCAGCTGGGGTGAGAATCTACTTCAAAGTCATATAGGTGACCAAGACCACCATATCCTGGGTTGAGTACATTTTGTGGGGAACAAAGTACAGAAGACAATATGTTTTTTTGAATTTAGCAGAAAACAGCTTTCATTTTGTTTTCCCAGAAATGGGTCCTGCAACTGTCTCTTCACGGAAGCTATAACAGAAAAACTAAGGTGGAGCCTAGAATAGCTGAGATGGAGTCCCTACAGCCACACCTGTTTGCTCCTATAGCCATAATGACTCCATTCCTGCAAGGAGGGAACTGTTACAAGTGATCAGGTAGTTTTACCACAGCAATTACTTTACACACCCAGGATCAGTCTATAACCTATACCTACAACTTATACTCTTATTGACTTTATTGATTAGTCCACACCACAACAAGAACAGGGCAGGGAAATGGGAAAGCTTTCTTCGTGCCCCCAAAGGACCTCTGATGGCTCAAAAAAAGTTCACGTCATTCACCTGTGCCTCCACATTCTAGAGTGGAGCTCCCGATAGGTACACAGGACTAGGAGTCCTGGATTCTAGGACTTGGTTAAGTCCCTGACCTTCTCTGGGCCTCAGCATACGGAGGAGTCAGACTAGAAAAGGATCCCTAAGGCCTCTTGCAACTCTGACGCTCCAGGATTCTATGAATAGGGTTAAAGAGAACAGGGACCAGCTATTGCTTCCCCATCTTAGTAACTGTTGCTAGACGAGGGCCATCTCCTGGTAGGAGTGGAAACCCCTCTGTGAATCCGGGAGGTCCTCCAGGCATCCCATAATGCATAGCGACTTCGCCTCGCTAGGAGGCACGTCTCGGTCTCTTTGGTCACGATCAACCCTTCGGATCCAGCCAAAGAGTGCGCCTCGTTTCTATAGCAACCGCGCCAGGTCCATGCGACCACGGCGGGTAGAAAGGGTCAAAATATATTCGCAAAATAGCATATCTAACTCAGGTCAGTCTCTGACTTTGGTGCACGGGCCCTTTAAGTATCACGTGCCTTCCCTCTGCCGGGTCCCCGCCTCTTCCCCCCCCCCAGGCCTGGGTGAGCGCTGGTGTGGACGGGAAGCTCCCGGCCCGGCGGACTAGCTGGAGTGCGGACGCTGCAGCCGGTTGGGCCGGTGCCCTTTCCCGGTAACTCCTTCCCGGCGTGACGCGCGGAGCCGCGGACGCGGCGGGGCCGGGCAGGCTCAGGGATTTCCCGTCAGTTCCTTCTCGTTCCGGTCCCCACTGGGCCCGGGGGGAACCGAGAGCCGACAGGGCCCAGCCCAGGGCTCTCGGGGGCGGCGGGGGAGGGGGCCGCCTCCTGGAAGGTTGCGACCTGTGGCTCGAGGCCCGGCTGAGACCTAGAGCGTGTCCCCGGGAGCCGCCGCCTGGTCTGGGGATGCTGCCCCGAGGGCGGGCATCCTACCTGTTGGGCAGGTGGTTTCCTGCCCTGAGGCCCGCACCGTGGAGCTCGAGACTGTCAGCAGAGAACTTCACAGCCCCCGCCCCGCACCTCTAACTGAAGGGACTGGACTGACACAGTTGAATCAGGCAGCGCAGCCCTGCGTGGCAGAACTAGTACTAATGCCACCCCTCACTGTCGGCTCTACTTCGTCTTTTACATACGTTTAACCCCCCGTGACGATCCTTCCAGGTGGTGATATTCATTCCTGTTTTAAGAATAAGGACACTGAGGCTTAGTAAGTTTAAGTAAGTCGTCCTAGGTCACAGAGTGGCCCTAGGTCACAGAGTGGCGGAGGACGGTAGAGTCTGGTTCCCAAGCCCCATGTGCTTAACCAGTAACCACCTCGCCTTTGCTTTTTTGTTTGTTTGTTTTTGCTTTAGGACATAAGAGGTTGTCTTTAGGAAGAAACTGCTTTAGGATTTGATTCGGCTTGCATGCAATTCTGAGCATTGGTCATCAGATTAATCAATTTTGTGGGGACTCCCAGGCAGCATTAGTCTTCCACTTATCAAAAATCCACTGCTGTTAAACTTTGCCCCTTTTGAGTAAAGCATTACATTACACACTTGAACCTTAACACATAGTAGCTTATGAGATGTCAAGACACATGTGACCCATGGAAAAAGCATTGTAAACACAGATCATAATCTTGGGATGTGAATGTCTGTGATACTAGCCCTAACATGCTCAAGAAACCGCCAGGAATATTTCCAAAATCTACAATGAATTCAATCACTACACTCACCAGAGATAGAGCGAAAGATATTTTAAGACCAGGCCTATTCTTCACTCTTTGCCATTATTTCTCCTTTATGTAGAAAACTAAATAGCAGCTGCTTTTTCTCATCTGAAGTTTTCATTTGTAATGACCATATTGGTGATGATTAAATTAAAAAGCAGTTTGATTTTTTTTCCTAGTTCGAAGGGACATGATGAGAAAAACATAAAATTGAGGCATACTGAGACTTGCCTAGAGTATTTCACTTTTATATTTGTACTTACTGAAAGCCCAAGAACAGCATAGTGATTTCACTCTATAGTTCAGCACATGGTAAATCTTGTGACTTCATGAGTTTATTTAACATATTCAGTGAAGTCATCTTAAATCACATATTTTAAGTTTTCTGTCAGGGTAGATGAAATAATGTATTTGAGGTATAGTTACCCTGATTATCTTACTAATGTTTTCACACTCACTTATTTCTTCATCTCATTTTCAGTCATTTTTAAAGCTTTTCTAATCCAAGGATTCTAGAGAGTTGCTGTTATCTTTTCATCTATAATCGTTCTTAATTGTGATATTCAAGAGTGGTAGTGAGATTGTTGATTTTAAAAGATATAGTCAAACAGCTTGACATATTTCCCGCAAAACAGGTTTTGTTTATTTTGTTTTTCATCTATATATCTTATACCTTTACCTGAAAAGCAAGACTGTCCAGGTTTCTACCACTGAAACTTACTGCCTCTTCAATCATTTCAGCTCTGGAAAGGAAGAGAAATGGAAGTGAAAAAATTGAGCATTTCCTGGCAGTTCTTGATAGTTCTGGTTCTGATCCTGCAAATTCTGTCTGCGTTGGATTTTGACCCATACAGAGTCCTAGGGGTCAGCCGAACAGCCAGTCAGGCTGATATTAAAAAGGCTTATAAGAAGCTCGCCCGGGAATGGTAGGTGAAACAAAGAAATGGAAGTTTAATATAAGCTAAGAAGTCTCAGCAAAGGAATGAAGCCTCATTCATAATTGGCTTATATCTGTCTCTGTTTCTATGTTCAAAAAATAAAATATATATATATATATATATATATATATATATACACACACATATACATATACATATTTGTCTAGAATATTTACATAGAACTAATGTTTATGTACTATAATTTTTAGTGGTAAGATTCAAGATTATATTTACTATGAATTCCCTTTTAGGAATACTTTGGCTTGGCTTAAATTCTTCCCTTAGTACTGTTAGCATATTTAGTGTTAAACTAAAGTAAGAAGAAACTTTGATTAAAAAAAAAATGCAGTCAACAATGGGTAAGCTAACCTTCCCATGATATGTTATTCATAAATCAATTCTTTATTAGTATAATTGCTAAGGGGAACACAAATATCATGTTCACTTAAAAAAATTAAAGTGCTAGGGATTCAACCCAGGACCCCTCACACATGCTAAGAAAGTGCTGTACCACTGACCTACCTCCCCAGCCCTAAATTATTAATTTTTCAGCTTTAATAAACAGTTTAGAGCCAGGCACAGTGGGGCACACCTGTAATCCCAGTGACTCAGGAGGCTGAAGCAGGAAGATTACAAGTTCAAGGCCAGCCTCAGCAACTTGGCAAGGCCCCTCATCAACTTAGCCAGACCCTGTCTCAAAATAAAAAAAAGGGCTGGGCTTGTAGCTGATAAATGACCCATGGGTTCAGTTCCCAGTACAAAAATAGAGAAAGTTTCAAGAGCTTTTTGCCTTCATTTCAAAAAATAATATTCAGGAACTGAGTATATAACTGTTAAGAAAAAATTTTTAGTAAAATAATTGTTTTCTTTTGTTGGCAGAATAACAATAAATCTAAAACTTATTTTGGATAGACATCATTGGTTTCTCCCACCAAAGGTTTGGCTATGACATAGAAGAATTGTTGGTTATGTAGCTATCAGGGAGCAGCAGAAAAAAGGTTAGAAAGGACACAGGTTGAACCAACCATCAGCAGTGAAGAAAAGTTTGTAATAGGTGCTGTCATTGAGCACCTACTGTATACTAGCCTTCAGTTTTATGCATCTTATTTCATTGAAATCTTATAATTGGGGTTGGGGTTGTAGCTTAGTGGTAGAATGCTTACCTTGCACGTATGAGGCACTGGGTTCGATCCTTAGCACCACATAAAAATAAATAAATAAAATATTTTTTAAAAAGAAATCTTATCATTAACCCATGAAAGAAGATATCATTTGCCCTGCTGTACAGATGAGAAAATCAAGGCTTGGGTTGGTAAAGGTAGATTACCTCTCAGTTCCATGGTTTGGCCTCTGCGCCATTAGTATTTTTGGGGGGAGAGGGGTCTTTTTGCAGTTTTTTTTTGCTTTTAATCATTTAAAGTATGGGTGAGTGGGTTAGTGTTTGTAGGGGAAGGATCTGAAGGGGAGGAGGGACTTAGGCAGGAGCAGAGCTGCCACGTGGGGGTGATGGCATGTGACTCTGCCTGGCACCATTCTTCTTCAGTAAGCAGATGTATCTTAGAATTGGCCTGGTTGCAATAAAGGTAAAAGAGAGTTTAAAATATAAGATTTTGAGCCAGATGCAGTGGCACACACCTATAACCCCAGCAGCTTGGGAGTCTGAGACAGGATCACAGGTTCAGGGCCAGCCTCAGCAATTTAGCAAGGCCCTAAGCAATTTAGTGAGACCCTGTCTCAAAAAATTAAAAGGCTGGAGATATGGCTCGGTGGTAAAGTATCTCTGAGCTCAATCGCCAGTACCAATACATGTGTGTGTGTGTGTGTACATGTGTGCGTGCACACACACACATATATATACACATATATTGCTCTCAATAACATTTCAAACTCTTGCTTCGGTTTAAGGCAAAGTATACAAATCTGCAGTTAATCCATAAGTACACACTTGGACAGGGCATAGCCTTGCATAGTAGTTTCAGAGCAGAAAAGATAGCTTGGGGACATGGGACCTATTAAATTGTACTGCTTTGACTTTTCTGTCTTCCAGAGCTGAAAGGGGTGTTATGATATTAATTAAATGAGTCATATGCTTCTCTTCTTTAATTAGATTCTCTCTAGGAATAATTCATCACCATACAAATATATAGTGTCATCTAGTGAAAATCTAAAATTTTATTTTACTTTTGTGTCTTTACTGTTATTTTCTGCAGCTTTGGTCATGGCAGCATTTTATCACTTGGAACAGTTTCCATTTCACTTCACAATGGTTTCATATACACTGAAAAAAGCTGTGTTTCCCTTGTAGAAGGGAGAAGTGGTTGTTAGATCTTATTTTACTAAGTGTTTTACTAACCATTTCTTAGACTTCACAAGAATCTTCCCTTGTTTGGTGAAACCACTTGAAATTACCTTTTTCCTCTCAGGGAAAATTATGTTTCTTTCCCAATAATTAAGTTTTCTCCTAGGTACTTTTCATTTGTCATCCATATTAGCAAAATAAAAGGGTCCTTCTACCCCAAGAAAAACAAATTGGTATGGCATGGCTCAGGCAACTGCATGGTTAAATGATTTCGTCTTGTTCTCTGCTGTATTTTTCTGTCTTTGTTTTTATTCCTTTAGTGTTTAAGGCAAAGGTACCTCCTCGATAGCCAGGAGGTACCATGCACACTGTTCTCTTCACTGGAATTTAAAGGTTGCCTATCGTTAACAGCTCATGAGATAATTTCATATTCATTGAAAACAGCATTGAAGATACTTTCTTAAGGCTCACCTTATCCTTTTTAAGTGTTTTCAACTTTGCGGTATCTTCCCACATTTAGGAAAATGCTCTTTCTAAGCTGACACTGTCTTGTGCTCTCCCTGGTTCTTAAGCCTTGGCCACCTTGTCGCAGGATCCATGTTCCCTAAGCCAGCCATCCTTGAGATTCTGCTTCCGTCTCCCAAAATATCCCTTTCTACCCTTCTCCCCCAAATTCTTTTTGTTAAATCATTTGTATGACTGCATAATCTTATCTACTCAGCCTTTAGCCTGAATTTGAAATTGGAAACACTGTGTTTTTTTGTTTGTTTGTCATTCAGAACCCTTCTGTGGAGTTGCCCTCTCACTTCCTTAAGTCATGCTCTTTTCGTTATGCCTAGCCAGGATTTTTTTCCCTAACATCCATAACAAAGGTTAAATAGTGAAGGAGGCATGATGTCCTCATTCAAGAGTCAACCATTTTGAAGTTTCCTTGTTTTTAGAGAGACCAGAATATGTAGTATAATTAATTCAAGCATATTCTAGCTAGAATAAGCTTGTCAAATTGTAGTTTTTTAAAAAAATATTTTTCCAAAACATGTGATGTGTTTTAGTCATTTGCTTTCCTGTGAATTATTTTCCTTTCCAGAACCTTTGCTAGGGGAGATTTAGTAGAGGTTAGCAAACAAAGTTTCATAAAGAATAAAACTCTTGTTATACAGGGTGTCTTAATAAAACGGACATTGAAAAATTAATCTATACAAAACACAGATTTAGATCTTAGTGGGTTGCATGGAAGTAAACTTAGCCCCAACTCCCCAGGGCTTTAAAAGCCCCAAAGCTGGAATTAGTGTAAGCACAAAAGGGTCATAGAATGATACATGACTTTAAGAAGATGAGACAGTTCATTACCAGCTGTAAATAACAGCAAATGTTGAAGATTTTGTTCATATCAGTTGAAGTAACCTTGCATGAATGATAGACGTTTTCACAGCTTAAACACGTGACCTTGGAAAGTCATTATCCTTTCATAGGTAGAAGGCAGAATGGACGACCAGAGTACTGATGAACACTAAAGTGTTCTAATTTGAAAGTTAGCAGCAAGATGCTACTGGAAACCTGCATTACTTTCATCGCAGAACCTTAAAGCCGTTTCTTAGGCTTGACTGCGCTGTCACAAGACACACCTGCATCAGTATCAAGCTAACATGAGGGAACACTGCTGTCCTGAGAGAAAACACCTGTTCTTTAAGGATAAGTGATTTAGCCTGAACCCACTTGAGCAGCGTTGGGGAGCAGAGCAAAGACAGGCACATGTCCCCCATCTCAGCGAAGTGCCATGCTATCTGGCACTTTGAAAATTTGCCCAGCTGGGAGGAAATTGCCTATTTCAAAATTTCATTTATTATAGCCATGTGAAGCAAATGATTGCTTCTACCATTTATTTTAGGAAACTGTCCTAACAAAATGTCTTCCATTTGCCTCTGATGTGGTGAACTGTGTATGTAAGGATGTTAAGTAATTGTGGGTAAAGAATGAAACCCTGTCTCACTGGCTGCCCGTCTGTGTTTCAGGCATCCCGACAAAAACAAAGACCCTGGAGCAGAAGACAAGTTCATTCAGATCAGCAAGGCTTATGAGGTACTGTGTCAACCTGTGGTGCACCCACAAGCTCTTTGACTTGGGTGGTCAGTTCTAGAATGTCCTTTCTGAAAAACATGCTCCGACCCTGTTTCTGAAAAATGGTGGAGAAAACCTACTTGCCACATCCACTATGTTGAATCATGTGCCTGAATATCAGCTCTTAAAAAGTCCAGCCTATTTTATTTTTTTTTAATGTTTTTTAGCTTTAGAGGGACACGATACCTGTATTTCGTTTATGTATTTTTGTGCGTTGCTGAGGAGGATCGAACCTAGTGCCTTGTGCATGATCTACAGCCCCAACCCCAAGTCCTGCCTTTTTTGGGGGGTGGGGTACCAGGAATTAAACTCAGGGACACTCAACCACTGAGCCACATCCCCATCCCTATTTTGTATTTTATTTAGAGACAGGGTCTCACTGAGTTGCTTAGCGCCTCGCAGTTGCTGAGGCTGGCTTTGATCATCCCGAGCCGCCGGGATTGCCTGCACCATCTTGACCACCGAGCCCTGCTAAGTACTGCATTTTTTTTTTTTAATTTTTGATAGTTGTGTATGAACAGCATGCCTTTGTTTTATTTGTTCATTTTTATGTGGTGCTAGAATTAAATGCAATACCTCAGACATGATAGGCAAGCCTCTGCCACTGAGCCCCAGCCCAAGTCCTGCCTATTTTAAAGGTTTAATTAGAATTGTAAAATTACCCAGAACGTGTCTTTATTACCTTTCTAGAAACTTACCTTAAAGAATCATACACCCACTAGGTGTGGTGGCACACGCCTATAATCCCGTTGGCTTGGGAGGTAGGAGGATCACAAGTTCATGCCAGCCTCAGCCACTTAGCAAGGCCCTGAGCAACTTAACAAAACCCTGTCTGAAATAGAAAAAAGGGGGAGGGGGCTGGGAGTACGGCTCAGTGGTTAAGTGTCCCTGGGTTAAATCCCCAGTACCAACAAAAAGAATCGCCACCATTGTGCCTATGTTTATTACAGTGACACAGTGCCCAGATACCTTTAAACACAAGGTTTTCATTAATCTTCCAGCACAGCAGCTCGAGTAGCTTGGTCTGGGATGAGCTTAACAGAGAATTCCCTGGCTTCCCAATGAAGAGGATGCTCTTCAGCAAATACAACTGAGCCCCTAGGTTTGTTACCAGACAGGGTTCCAAGGAGGTCCCTTCTGAGAGAGTGTAACTTTGACTTGGCCCAGATAGACTTTTTGTTTGTTTGTTTGTTTGTTTTGTTTTTTGGGGTTTTTTAGTGTGTTTTTAAAAAATTTTTATAGTTTTTAGATGAACACAATATCTTTATTTTATTTATTTATTTTTATGTGGTGCTGAGGATCGAACCCAGCGCCTCACACATGCAAGGCAAGCTCTCTACCCCTGAGCTACAAACCCAGCCCGACCTTTTTTTTTTGAATGGACATATTTATTATCTATCCAGATATTGAAAGTGAAGTGAGATGTTTGACATTATGGAGCAACATAAATAGAAATGTGCGTCATGAATTCAGTGGATAGGCATTAATTCATTTAATGGGATCTACTGAGACCTCATCCATGTTAAGGTTGTTATTCAGTGTGGGATACAGTGACAAATGAAACACTCCCTGCTTTCAAGGAGTTTTGTTTTTTGTTTTTTTGGTTTTTGACTAGGTATATATGACAACAGTTGCATTTTGATTCATTATACACAATTACAGCACAACTTTACATTTCTATGATTGTACACAATGTAGCATCTCACATGTTCCTCAGGTAACGATGTCTGTCTCATTCCACCATCTTTCCTGCCCCCGCACCTTCCCTACCTTCCCTCCCCTTTGCCCAATCAAAGTTCCTCCATTTTCCCTGCCGCCCTCCTCCACATTAAGGATCAGCATCCACTTATCAGAGTGAACATTCGGCCTTTGGTTTGGGGGGATTGGCTTACTTTGCTTAGCATGATATTCTCCAACTCCCAGATGGACTCTTAACTTATAGCCCAGAAAACGGGAATTTGAGGGTGTGTGGGAAGGAGGGCACAGGCAAAGGTTGGTCAAAGGGCAGCGAAGCAGGGGCAGGGCGAGGAATGAGCCCTCTATGTGGAAGATTTTCCTGGGAAGAGAAGTGCGGGTTCCCAGGCATACTTTTGTAAAAATCAAATTCTGTGTCAGTCATTTGATATCCAGGGTTCAGGGTGTTTCATGTGTAAGCAGTCCAGCCATAATCAGTTGTGGGCACATTGTGTAGGTCTGTGGATCTGGTGACATTTATATCGATTATGTTTTTGTTCTGGTTGATCTGGTACAAATGTGCCCTAGAGGTTTTCTTCACCTAACTAAAGTGACAAGCATGGCTGGTCATGCTCATAGATCCGGGTCTCCATCTAGTAAGGTTCTCTTGCTCCATCCCTAAGAGCCCACCTGTCTCAGCCTGACTCATCTTCCTGAACAGATTCTCGAATGCTAGATGTCAAAGGCATTTTTAGGTAAAACAGAGTTAACCAACCCACAGGCCCTGGACTCAATTCTGTGACTACTCTTTGGGACTCACAGCTTTCCCTACCTTGATCTGAACTTTCCAACCTCTAAAGTATGACCAAGTTAGTTTTCCTGTGACTGAACCCTGGGGGTCAACGCTATGTTAAGTTTGATCTGTTTTACTGAAGGGCTCACTGCCTAGATCAAAGTCTTTAATGCCGACACAGGCATGAGTATCTGAACACCTGAAACACGTCGGTCTTGAGTTTTCTTCACTGTTTCTTTCTCTCTCTCTCTCTCTCTCTCTCTCTCTCTAATTAATTTTATTTTTTTACATAAACGGAGCACAACTTTTATTTCCCTGGTTGTACACGATGTAGAGTCACACCATTATTACCCATACCTAGGGGTGATGATGTCCATCTCATTCCACCATACCCCACCCTGCCCCATTTCTCTTGAGAGAAGTTTCTCGTATGTTGAGACTGTGTGTTTAGAGTGTCTGATCATGTCTTATTCTCTACATTTATATTCTTCCTGCTTCTCAAACTGCTTAAGAAAAGTCCTTTGGTTTAACCTTTTTGTGGATTAGATTTCTCATCTTTCTTTCTTTCTTTCTTTATAGATTCTTTCCAATGAAGAAAAGCGATCCCACTATGACCACTACGGCGATGCTGGGGAGAGCCAGGACTACCAGAAGCAGCAGCAGCGAGAATATCGCTTCCGCCATTTCCATGAGAATTTTTATTTTGATGAATCCTTCTTTCACTTTCCTTTCAATTCTGAGCGGCGGGACTCCATCGATGAGAAGTATTTATTGCACTTTTCCCACTATGTGAACGAAGTAGTTCCAGACAGCTTCAAGAAACCCTACCTCATTAAGATCACCTCGGATTGGTGCTTCAGTTGTATCCATATCGAGCCTGTTTGGAAAGAAGTAGTCCAAGAACTGGAAGGATTGGGTAAGAGAATTCTCTCCATTGGGGGAGACTTATTCACCAGGTGACTTTTATCATTCTTGGATTTTATGGGTCTCTGGGGGAAGGGAGCAATGAACGTGATCTCTCGGCACAGGTTCATGGTGATCAGGGCTTTCCAAGGGTGCATTTTTGCAGAGGGTAGATGTGTAAGCTGCTTTGATTTTGCATTACTGATTGGAAGCTTTATAGATACATTAGATGCCTACCTAACACATGAAGAAACTAATAAATTAATTATGGTTGATTAAAGCAGCCCCCAGTATTGGGGTTTGTTTTATTTTGGTACTGGGCATTGAGCCCAGGGGTACTTTACCACTGAGCCACACACACACCCTGCCCTTTTTATTTTTATTTTGAGACACAGTCTTACTAAATTGCCAAGGCTGGCCTCAAACTTGTGATCCTCCTGCCTCAACCTCCTGAGTCACTGGGATTACAGGTATGTTCAGCCACACCTATTTTCAAGCATCAATTTTAATGCCAGTGGGTACTGCAGATGCTACGGTACTTGTCATTTCACTGTGCATGAGTTTTCTAGGGCTGCCTTAACAAAATGCCACAGCCTGGGTGGCTTAAAGAAGAGGTTTATTTTCTCATAGTTATGAAGGCTAGAAGTCTGCGACCCCAGTGTCAATAGATTTGGTTTCTTCTGAGACCTCTTCTCGGCTGGCAGATGGCCAGCTTCTCACTGTGGGGCCGCACGGTCATCTCTCTGAGCATCTTTTTTTGTATCTTTACCTCTTGTAAGGACACATCATTTCGGATTAGAGCTCATCTTAATGGGCACAGTTTCACTGAATTTCTTCTAAAAGTTTCACTCTTAGCTCAGGCTTCCACAATAAAACACCACAGGCTAGGTGGCTTAAACAGTAGGTTTCTTTCTCACAGTTCTGGAGGCTGTAAGTCCAAGGTAAGGGGCCAGCTTGGTTGGGTTCTTGTGAAAACTCTTTTCCTGGCTTGTGGGCAGCCATCTTGCTGTATCTCATATCTCTTCTTATAAGGCCAATAATCCCATCATGAGGATGTCACCCTTCATGACCTAATTTTCTTCCTCTGGCCCCTGTCCAGATAGCATCATAAATGGGATGAGGGCTTCAACATAAGGATTTGGGGAGAACCCACATTCAGCCCATAGCAGTCTGCAATAGCTGTAGGGTACACATTAACCTCTCTTTCACCCATATTTACTTCTTAGTGCCAGGAAGATAGTAGTGATTCAAGACGGTGATTCTTTTAGTAACTCCTAAAAGTTGGAATTACTGAATTAAGTATGTGTATGCTGTGTTTTATAGGCATTAGCAGACCAGTTCCTCACTACCTAAAAGGGAACAAACTCAGCCCTAGGGGCTGAGGGGCCTGGATTTCTCTGGCGAGAGCAGACTGCTGGAAGTCATTGGTTCATTTATTTTACACAGATATTGAACCTGTTGTCCAGAAGCACTTGGATACTCAGATTTGGTGGGGTGCTTTCCTGAGACTGACTGAAGCTGCCCTTGGAAGAAGCTGAGGGGCAGAGTGTAGCAGGGTCTGGCATGTGGTGGGCTGTCAGTGGATGCTTAGTGTGGCCAACTGTGAATGAATCAGGTGGAAGTCACAGAATCAAATAGCTCCTTCATCACAAGGCATAGATATGTCTTATGCCATGCTCAGTGGTATACTGAAAACCAATCCAGGAGCTGATGTTGTCCTAGAGCATAAACACTAAGCCACTGCATGGTTTGGACCAAAATCAAATCAGGGCCCAAACTGCATTTTAAACATGCCAGACAAACATAGGTGGTGTGAGGCAGCACAGCACAGTGGTCATGGCTATGGGCTGAGAGATCAGGTGGACCAGTGTTCACATGTCAACTTGTCATTTACTGTCTTTATATCCTTTTGAAATATTATCTAACCCAGGTTTCTTCACCCCTAAAGCAGGAGCAATAATGTCAAACCAGCCATATCATTATGAAGATTAAATGAGAAAAACTTATGCCAAGTGCCTAATAGATATTAAGCACCTAATAAATGAAACTTAGGAAATTTCTGATTAACTGGGTTTTATGGTTTACCAAGGTAAATTTGGGGGTTGGAGGTGGGCAGGGGTGGTACTGGGGACTGAGTCCACTTATCCACCACTTATCCACATCCCCAGTCCTTTGTATTTTAAGACGGGCTCTCATTGAGTTGCTGAGGCTGGTCTCAAACTTTTGATCCTCCTGCCTCAGCCTCCCAAGTCACTGGGATTACAGGCATGCACCATTATGCCTTGTACCAGAGTAAAACAAATTTTTTAAAATATTTTTTGTTGTAGTTGACACAATACCTTTATTTTATTTACTTATTTATATATGGTGCTGAGGATCGAACCCAGGGCCTCACATATGCTAGGTGAGCGCTCTACCACTGAGCCACAACCCCAGCCCCCAGAGTACAAACCCCTTTTGAAAACTCTTAGGTGAATTACTCCACTATCTTCAAGCTCATTAACTGCAGAGCACGGCTTTTGACTTGTGTTGAACTGACTGAGCCTTGAAGAGGGCTGGAAGCTGGCTGGGCAGAATAGTGAGGAGTGGCATCCAGCCACAGGAGCAGGGCAGCAGAGAAACAGGAGCACCCACAGACCAGCTGCAGCATCGAGGCTGCATGGGTGGAAGAGGAGGAAGCAGGAAGAGCATCGAGGAGCCAAGCAGGAAGGAGCCTGGACTCCAGGCCAGGGGAGCTGGGCTTGATGCTGTAGTGTGTAATAAGGCCAGTAGTACAGAATAGGGTCTGTACCCAGAGGAGTGGCGTTATCACATCTGCACTTCAGAAAGCCCGCTGGGAAGGCCATTTGAAGGGCATTTGAGGAAGGTAAGAATGGAGGCAGGGAGTGCTCCAGCCCTGGCAAGAGAGCAGCCACTGACCTGGACAGGGCAGCAGGGAGAGAGATGGAAAGTGCAGGCTCTCCTGGAACCATTGAAATGTAAGACATGAGAAAAGAGGAAAAAGGGGTCAAGGTGGACTCTGCACTTGAGCTACCAGGTTTCAGGGAATACAGTCGAGAGCCGAGTCAGCAGGGGAGAAGTGGTCAGAAGTAACTACTGCTTGAGTGTCACCGTGACACACACAGGCACAGTCATGACGCCAGCTCAGTGCAGCTCTTATTAGACAACAGCCCTGGAAGATGGGAAGTTGAACGTGTTAGGTTAGGGGCTGGGGCTGGGGCTCAGTGGCAGAGCACTTGCCTAGCACATGTGAGGCATTAGGTTCAATTCTCGCACCACATAAAAATAAATAAAGGTCCACCAACAACTAATTTTAAAAATGTGTTAGATTAATTAGGTTTATAGGACATTTTCCCTTTTGGAACATTCAGATTGGCTGAAGATTCTTGACAGCTGGTTCTACTTGGTTGTAGTTTGGTGATGTTGAGATAAGGTCAGGACCGTTCCCATGGCTGTTCCCCATCTATGAGGTAACACCACACCTTAGGAGGTTGCTGAGAGAATATTTCTATTTTGAATTGACAGGAGCAGCACAGTCTCAGAATTAGCTGAGTGATCTGGGGAAGCTTGGACATCATCTTAGAATTGGTCCCTAAAATGCAGCGTGTGGAGGAAGTAGAACAGTTCTGCCTGGAGCAGAGGTGTCACGACTCTTTAGGGTCAGTCGACAGCTGTGCAACGTTGAATTAATCAGTGTAGAAAAGCAGCCGCCATCAACAGCTGCCCCGGGAAGGAGGGCCCAGAAATGGTCAGCGCCATCCCCTCAGGGAGTGCACCCCTTAGTGTATGCAGAGAATTAACATGGACCTCACATTTGCAAATGCAGATCAACATACTGCTGAAGGAGGAGTAGGTGAGGGGACCAGGGAATTTGTCCCACATTCTGTTTTTTTTTTGTGTGTTTGTTTTGTTTTTTTGGTACAGGGAATTGAATCGGGTGCTGCATCTCCTCAGTCCTTTTTTTTTTTTAATATTTATTTTTTAATTGCAGTTGGACTCAATATCTTTATTTTATTTTTATGTGTGCTGAGGATCAAACCCAGGGCCTCGCACGTGCCAAACAAGTGCTCTACCACTGAGCCACAATCCCAACCTTCCTTTTTCGTTTTTTATTTTGAGATAGGGTCTTACTAAGTTGCCCAGGCTAGCCTCAAACATGTGATGCTCCTGTCTTCAGCCTCCTGAATCCTTGGAATTACAGGCATGTGCCACCACACCCAGTTTATATTCTCATTTAAACCTTTTTTCTTGATCAATTTTTGTGTGCCAATTATTACATTAGGCACTGAAGAATATGTAATAATAATTTTACTGATTGAGCATTTCATTACCTTCCATTGTGCTAAACACTTATATGGATTATCTTCATCTGCAAAGCAACCCAGTGAGGGAGAGGCTATTATTATCCCTATTTTATGAATGTAAGAACAGGCAGAAGAAGGTTAAGGAATAGATTCAAGGTCACACTATCAATAAACAACAATGGTGGTAAGGACCCAGGAGTCTCACCCTCTTAGACACCGCACTGTGAGCACTGATTCAGAAATAAGAAAGTCCGGCCCAGTACGGTGGCACACACCTATAATCCCAGAGGCTTGGGAGGCTGAGGCAGGAGGATCACAAGTTCGAAGCCAGCCTCAGAAACTTAGCAAGGCCCTAAGCAACTCCATGAGACCCTGTCTCTAAATAAAATATAAAAAAGGGCTGGGAATGTGGCTCAGTGGGTAAGCACCTCTGGGTTCAATCCCTGGTATTTAAGAAAAAGGAGAGAGAAAGAAGACCTGGTATGTACTCCCAGGAAATTCAAGAGATAAAAACATCCCAGCACACTAGTACTTGCTGGGCGTTGCAGACAGTAATGAAATGATACTTGATTTCTAGGTTGAGTACCTTGAAATTAAATATCAATGCAGGGAGCCCCCATTTGGATGCCCATGCAGTGATTATTCACCATGACTTCTTATTTAAAATGAAAAAATTGGCCAGGGGTGGTGGTGTATGCCTATAGTCCAG